TCCTTTTTGATAACCAGTCATTGTAGCATGTTTATTATCATGTCTACAATCATTCCCCAAAGTTTTATATTTTTTGGAATTTATTTGATATTTTTAAACAGGGTTTTAAAATCAGCAAAACAGTTTTCAGAATTTATTTTTAAGTATCAGTTATCGGTCGACCGATCCGGTCGACCGCTCATATTTTTAGTCCCAATTGATTTTACAAAATCGTGTATGTCTGTAGTTTTTCAGAAACTGTAAATCTGTGTTCAAACATTTATTTCTCTCAACTGGGAAATGATTTTTCCGAAATTCTTTCTCTAACATGTCATTCTACATGTCTAGAACCTTCCCACAAAATTTCATATTTTTTATAGCTGTTTTACTATTTTTAATTGATTTTACAAAACTGAAACATAGTGCTACAGTACCCGCGATCGACCGGTACGGTCGACCGCCAAACTCTCTGGACGTGGTTACTGTAGCATAACAGCTATATTTTCCAGATTTTGATATATCCGTTGTTTGTCTTTTTTGCTTGGTTTTCTTGGGTTTTTGGGCTTGTTTCATGAGCCTATATATACTCCATGCCCTCATACTTCTAAGGGTACTCAAGAAATGTTTTAAACAAGTTTAAAGAGTTTTAAACAAGGGTTTAAGTGTGTTTTAGTGTTTGTTTGGTTTGAAGATTGTTTTCACAAGTGGAGGAGATCATCTTCTTGTTTGGGCTCCAATCTCCATCTCTCCATCTTGTCATCTATTGGAGAAGTTTTCTAAACTCTATCTAGCTTTACATTTGCTTAGTTATTTGATTATCATTCTTTAAAGCTAGTTTTTATATTGAGTTTAGATTTGATTATATTATCTCATTGTTACACACACCCACTTGAGCTTATTGTATTTGCATACATAGTATATTAGGGTTGTGAGAGATTGTAACATTGAGTTTGTGCTTAATTGAGTTCTCATCTATTGTAGAGAACAAATTTATATTTGTTACATTGTGAGTGGTGTAAGGTTTTCGGTGAGCTAGAAAACCGAGTGTGTTGTGAAGTTTTCGGTGAACTAGAAAACCGAGTGTGAGGAGTGAACGTTGTTCGGTGAGCGTTGAAAACCGACACTGTGAGGTGTAAACGTTATTCGGGTGAACGTAGAAAACCCGGTTGTGATAGTGGATTTCTCCCCGGGAGTGGGGAGCGGAGACGTAGGACGGAAGGTCCGAACTCCGTGATCATATCTTGTGTTTGAGTGTGCTTTGGCGTTTATTTATACTTGTGTTTATAATTCTTGTCGCCATTGTCATTAGCTCATTATTTATATGATCCACTATCTAGTTCATATTGTTTACCCTTGTGTTAGTTTATATATCCTTGCATATATCATATAGTATACCTCTTTGCTAGGATATATCACCTTGTGTATATTGCATATTCTTGCTTATAACTCTTGTATATCTATCTTGCAAGAATATATCTTGTTAATTAGTTTTAATTGGCATTTAATCGGATTAGATTAGCATAAGACCCTAATCACCCCCCTCTAGGGTCTAACAAAGTCTACACCTAACACGCGTCACCGTTTAGTCTTTTCTCGTGAGAAAGACGAAGTCTACGTATTCAATATCGTAGCACTAAAAGGGCTAACTCTTTTAGCTTGAACGTCACATAGGAGCGGACTTAAACAATCCGCATGCTAGCCTTAGTCCTCGTGTTGGACATGCTAGCTATTTTAATCCTCGTGCTGGATATGCATTACCATCCGGTCCATGCGTTGGACAACGGTCACACCCGGTCCATGCGTTGGACAACGGTCACATCCGGTCCATGCGTTGGACAACGGTCACATCCGGTCCATGCGTTGGACGTTTAATTTATATAGTCTATGTTTTGGACACTTAATCGTTTTCTGACATGTCACTCATGTGAGTTTATGTCATAACACTTATGTAAATCTCGATATGATATTCATGTAAGTAATAACATGATGTTCATGTTAGCTATGGTATGGCACTGTATTTTTGCTCTGAGATTAGCTGTATTTCTTTTATTATTGTTTTCTGTACTAGAACCTCGGGTCTGGTGTTTAGAGATTTACAATTTAAGATACAAGGTATATATATATGAGAGTTTCCTTGTTTGGATTATTTCGCTCGACGTACCTATGCTCGTGTTGTAAATTTCTAAATACTAAAACCCTCTTTAGTAAGATAAATGATTTTAGATCTATTATATACTCACTGTATTTTCTTATACAACGAACCCTGTTCCCTTGGGGTTGATTGTGATGTTACTCGCTAGCGCTTTGACGCTCGTTGTCCCTCCCCTTTTCAGGTAACGAGCCAGGAGCCCGGAGAGTCGCAGGTTGATGGCGACACACTTTAGTGTTCAGCTGTCTATTTTAGCTATGTTTTATTTTCGAGTTCCACAGTAGATTTGTGTTTAGACATTTGAGAGTCTTGTTCTAGAAGTTGTAAAGGCTGTGTGCCTTATTTCCTTTTTGTCAGATATTTGTATTTGAGACTTGATGAGTATTCCAGTTTATCTACTCAGATCTTGACTATGTATTTCTGTGTGTTGGACGATGAGACATTTATGTGACTATTATCATTTCATCAGCATTTCTTGTATTATCTTTTACCTGTTTTGTACCTACACCAATTGTTGACTCTACTAGATAGATGTTAATTGTGATGGTAAAACATGTTATTGCACGGTGTGGTGCATGGCAGGTTTGACATTCTTGGTTTTACCTTGGACTGCAGCCTTGTGTGAACCCAAGGGCGTCACACAAAGCCTATAAATACAGTCCCAGGGCCTTCGTTTTTAAAATATGGAATTCTCGAGCGTCGGCGAAGCCCTGCTGAATTGAAGACTGAAGAAGTACGAATTTCAGAAGAGAGGAGGAGATCGGATCGAGTTCGTCAGCATAAAGAAGATGAGCTCATCAGATCTATAGTTCCCGGTTCCTTCCCTTAAGATTGCCCCATTGCGGTGATCTCGAGAAGAGTGATTATCTTGCTAATGCTGAGATAATTGCTTCGGTTTCTTGATTCTTTCGCGAATCAACGAAGCTCCGGATCTGATCTGATCATTTGGTAGTCCACGGATATCAACATCCCCGTCACATGCTAAGATCCCACGCAAGCAGCGGAGGATAAACGTCCGTTGCGTTTGTTGAAAGGAAAATTGTAATTTTTATTGAAAGTCTTATAAAAAGACCATTTTTTTTGAGTTTGTTGTAAACGCTTAAAGTTGTAATGAACTCGTCAATGAAAACAATTTTCTCCCCAAACAAGTACTAGGAGTTGCCTGCAAGTATACAATGGAGTTGTATTTAATAATAAGTAACATATTACAATTTTTAAGCTATGTTCCAGACTATTAAAAACCCTTCCTGATTGGTTCGCCAAACGTATAAGATACATACAACTTGAGGTATTCGAAGGTAATCTATACATATATGCAAGGAGATCTTAAAAAGAATATTTGCATACTCTCTCATATCATCAAGGTTTGAAAGAAAACATGCAACTAGCTTATCCTCGTTTGTTATTTCTGATCAATATTAGTTGCATATCCAATTTAATTAATTAATGGCTAATTGCATCAGCTATCTCAGACCATCCACTTGATATGGTGCGCAGAAACAAATTAATTGAACTTAGAAGCACATGCTGAAATAGAGTGGCATTGAAGGAATGTTGGGATGAAATCATTGAAGCACTGTATTATCCCAATTAACCAACCTTAGGTTTTACAACAAACAATGCCATATCCACTTCTCGACCTCTACTATACAAGTAGTAGTGCATATTGGGGCGGCTGCCCAAAGTGACCTCTAGGATGTCCATGTCAATTAATGCTTTATTAATTTGGTCCCAATGTGTAGAGGCTTTGCTCTACGAGTCTCTAGTGTTCTCCTTGATTTTGTAATGCCATAATGGCCCTCTCAAGAATATGTGGAGCTCACGCGCATAACCAACTTTGTTCCCTTTTAGTATTTTCAAGAGAAAGTACATTGCCTCAACTAAGTCTTGCCAACTAGCACTTGGGAAATGGCAGCCAGCTGCGATATCCCACTTCCCCTACCGACTCATCACCATTCTCATACTCCACTGGACAATTTCTCTATCAAACTCCTCCGTGGAGCGTCCCCCTTAGACCTGAGATATAATTTAACCCCACATTTTTGGTGACTGTATTATACATCAGTGTGTTGGGAAGCAATCGGGCCTTCAATAGAGGCTATGAATTAATTTTAACCCAATAACCTAAGCTGTTATTTATTAGCCAAAATTCCTACTTTAAACTGTGATTCATTATTATCTTATCCAATATGGAATTATATTCACACATGAATATCGCAACAACCTCCCATTCATTTGTGAGCATAGTTTAATCTGGATTCACAATAATTTGATGTAACAGTGGATTAATGCTAAAGAATTTAGGCGGTTCTGCAAAAACATGTGGTTTAATTTGTTGACCGAGTGCATCCATGCAAATGAGGATTAGAGAAACCTTTAGAGTGGAAATTTGTTACATGTGTGTGAATGATGCCATATTTGATTGTTGATGATCATTGGTTTGTGTGGTAAACCAAATATTTAATTCATAATTACGACACACTGGTGGCATTTGACGCAGGCTCATTGTGGAGCTGTCTCCTTAGTTGCAAATGAGCATTAATCCATGATTGAAGGAAAGCAACCTTTCGGTGATTAAGAAGAATAATTGGATTAGTAAAAATGGAAAAACCCTTGAGTTTAGAGGCATGTTTTCATCGAACAGGTGGCGTCACTAAGGATAAGCACAGGTTCAGGGCATATATCACCACATGATTCAGAGGCATTATTTTAGTTGAGTGCACGGTAGCCCGTAGGATATACCACTCCTAAAAGCATTTTGACTTGTGTTGGAAAAAAAAAAGAAAAAAAGGAAAAAAAGTTAATTTAAATCCTAACTACTTTCAGTATATGAATCCAATTGCAGGGAGACCATATAAAAGCCAACCTCCTCCTCCTCCATTCAGCGCAACAATTGTCTCATCACTTCTTTCCTCTTCGCCTCTTCCGTATATAATTCTTCATCTTCACTTTCATAAATGGCAAGGATGATTACCTTATACATTTTAGAGCTTTTACTGGCCGTTCAAGTTCTAATTGTTAGTGTTAATCCTGGTGCCAATGCTCTTTCAATGGACTACTACATGATGCGCTGTCCATTTGCAGAGATGATAATAAAGAACACGGTGAATCAAGCTCTAAGCAATGATCCAACTCTTGCTGCAGGTCTTCTCCGCATGCATTTCCATGATTGCTTTGTTGAGGTATAATGTTTAACTTCTTGTTAAATTTATAACTGTCAACTTTCATTACAGTATCGAAGTTTTAACCATTGAAGGCACTTTAGTATGATATCAAGCAATTCAGGTTAAAAATTGTACTGAGCACACATTTAATGTGAAATTTAGAAAAAACTTCCCTGTATAAAAGTCCGAATTTTAGCATATGAGAAGCATGTTAAACTTAGAGGGCATATTACCACTGGTGGTATTTATGTTTCTCTACTCTCACCGCTCACTACATCGTCACAGTTCTAGTATAGTAGAAAGAAATTTAATGTGGCATCAGTGTATCTCAGATTCAACTCATACTACAAGTGCTTAAAGCATATTTAAAGAAAATGTCTCTGCATAAAATAGTTTGGGTTTCAGTCAATAAAAAAATGTTTGATCTGCAAAAGCATGTTTTGTATGGAGGAACATACATCAGTACGATATCAAGCAACCTAGACTAAAGTCTTATGGATCAAAGTAGCAAAATAATTATCTTTATGTCCATGTAGGGATGTGACGGATCGGTTCTTATAGACTCTACAAAGGATAACACAGCAGAAAAGGACTCTCCCGCCAATCTAAGCTTGAGAGGCTACGAGATCATCGACCAAGCAAAGCAAGCGATTGAGAAGCAGTGCCCGGGAGTTGTTTCATGTGCTGATATTGTCGCCATGGCCGCCAGAGATGCAGTTTTCTTTGTATGAAATCAATAGTTTAATTACTTTGATTACAGAATCAACATTAATTATCTATTTTTCTGCCACTAATATATATGGTGCTGGTTGATCAGGCTGGAGGTCCAGTGTATGATATACCAAAGGGAAGAAAGGATGGGAGGAGGTCAAAGATACAGGATACAATCAACCTCCCACAGCCAGTTTTCAACAGCACAACCCTCATCAAGATGTTTAGCACGCATGGCTTTAATGT